ATCATTATATCCAGAAATAGATTGGAACTGTTCGAAAGATGCCTTGTACAATATTTACCGCCAACTCTCCGAAGATTATCATTGGCTGAGAATAAACTATTACAAGTTCCATACATAGCTGATTTTATTGGATTTCATAATTTGACTATGTTTAATATCAATCTACAGTTTTAGCCACCGGAATACGTTACTGCAGTCTTCGAGCTTTGAAAGGAAAATCAAGATGATCCGGAGCCATTTAACATTTCAATACAGTCATTCTACAAATTTCTCAACCTTTCTTCACAACTTTAGAAATTTCTGCAGGATTGAAGTTTCTCACTGGAGACCAGTTATATATGTACATATTCCTGAAAATCTCCAAACAATTTATGTTAATTGGCGTTTTCGACTGGTCGTTTTTATGAAGTAACGGGAAATTGTTTAGATTTATTTTTATTCGACTGGTATTTTGTGATGAGTAACGAAAATTCGTAGAGTACGAATCTCATCGAAGAAAAAAGCGCGATGAGTAAGATCACGTGACTGTAAACAATGGCGGAGGAAGAAGCGCACAAGTCGTGAGTATTTTTAATTAATTTTAAACTTTCTTATTTGTTGGGATATTTTAAAGATATTTACAATTGAAGTATAATTATTTGTAAAAGGAGTATAAAACGAAAGAATTCTAAGCATGTAGTGAAACACAGAGGCTCAGAATTTTTAATCTGGACGACTAAGTTTGTGTTAGCCCGAAATTCCTCCAACTTCCAAGTGAAAAGGAGCATTTCGCCGTGTGCGAAAGCATATCACTAAGTACTCGTCACTTTCTTTCATCATTAAATATATAAATCAACACACTTAGAAAAACAAGAAGCATCAATATTTGACAAACATCATTTATTTGTACAGTAACATTAAAAAAAAAATTCTGTGTTACTCCATGTGAATTTCCATTTACCTAGATAGTGTAGATTAGAACAAATGTGAAGGATATATATTTGTGATGAAAAGATGCTGTGAAAATGTGTTTCCACTAGTTAAGAAAGTGTTAGTTAAAGGTGTTTCATAATAAAGAAATAAAAAATTAAAAATGCTGCAAACATATCTGTAGCTTTGAAAGATGAAGAATTGGAGATTGTGTGTTTTATCCTATATGTGGACCTATTTATTACATAAAAAAATTAGATTGTATTCTTCACTGCACTGCATTGCATTTTATTGTAGATTTTGGCAAGAAATAGAGCTTACCTATCCAGATGGATTAAAAATTTGCCAAGTTTTGGACCAAAACACAATAAGAAGATTAGCAAATGGGGGTAAATTTTAATTCTAAATGAATGTGATAGTTACTGTTATTTAGATTAAAATGACAAATGAAATTTACAGCTTTGAGTTTAAACCATTTTATTTTTTTTCATGTCACTGATTTCATGCATTTAACTGGTATAAATAAATTGTATTTTACTGCATAAAGAAATCCAGTTTGATTACTAGTACTTTTGTTCATTGCATAAATTTATCATAATTCACTTATCTCCAGATGAAGAATTACAAGCAGAAATTAGGAAAAATTACGAGGAAAGCCAGACATCTACAGTAGCAACAGAATGTACAGAATTTCGTGAGGAAAGCCAGACATCTACAGTTGCAAGAGAATGTACAGAATTTCATGAGGATGAAGCAAGTAAGTATAGTAAAAAAACCCAGAATTTCGATCATATAAACACTTAAAGCAGACATTTTTTATGGCGTCAAGCTTTAGCTGGGCGCACATCTAGCTATGAGGAAAATCTCTGACTGTTAACCGCTTTCTTTATATGCCAAATAATATAGTAGTCAAACCAATACCTTCTTGCCAATTTTTGCCTTTATTCCATAAATTGCTTGAAAATCATACAATTTCAACAGTCCTATACATAGTTGCCATCTCACCCACTTTAGTCGTGTAAGTTTTCGACCCTTAACGTAATTATATTTTATGACATGACGGGCCATGCTTATCGCTTGAATCTCCGATTGATGGATTTGGTTCGTAAATTAGGTTGTACTTGTAACTTTTAGTTACAACTGACCCAAGCTTGATTTACATAAATAATGCCGATGGCTATGTAACGTATGTTCAGTAGGCCAGTAAAGTAGCAGTGCAGGTGTAAACAATTGGGATTGTTTTGGAAAATCAAAATTTAAAATGGCTTTCAATAAAACAAGAGTGTTATCTGGACCGGCAAGCGGTAAATCTAGTCTTCCCGACTCCCAACTCCCGAAGGTCCCGGTTTGTGGATTTTTAGCGATTTCTTTTAACCAGTGCACAGAATTTATTTAAACTTTTCATGAACATGAAAAAGCGGTAAATCTAGTACTCTGTTAGAAATGTTACAACCAAAAACGGACATCACTGCTATATCTAAAGCACGGCACTATTGCGGCCCTTCAGGCCTTTGATTTAAATGAAGGGGCCAAGTAAAATTTTGGTGGGCCAGTAAATTTAGAAAGTTCACTGGTCGTACAAGCTAGTAAGTTTAAAAAATTTTCATGAAGACTGTTAAAGTATAAATTATATGATTGACATCATGGACATTTTTTAAATATTTGGTATTTTCTGTAATTGTTTAATGTTAAATGATGCAAAATATGGAAGAAAAAAAACCATGAAAGTAAAGCTCCATTATTATTTTTTTACACAAGTGAATAATCTTTTTTTTCAGGTGATGTTGAAGATACCTCTCCTTCTACCTCTTCGAGTTGGAGTAGAGAAGCTACAGAACAACTTATTGATCTATATGAAGAACATGAAGAAAAAATGGAAGACCCAAGAAGGAAGAAAAAAGATATTTGGAAATTAATTACAGAGGGATTAAACAATGCTGGATTTAAATTTTCTCAGACCAAAGTGGAAGGTAAATGGAGAAGTCTGATTGCGTCTCATAAAACTCTTAGGGATAACAAAACCAAAACTGGCCAGAAACGCAAAACTTTTCAGTATTTCGAAAGAATCGATGCCATTTTGTCTAAACGTCATGATGTGAATCCGTCATTCCTATCAGGCTCTGGGGTGAACACTTCCACAGCAACAAAATTTAGTACCAAAGTTGAAAATTCTCAGTCAGCGTCTCAAGAGGAGAAGAATGAGTTCAAGCCTGATACAGACTCCAGCACTTCAGATACGGAGAGGAACACAGCTTCAAGTCAAGGAAACAACAAATACAGCTCATCGTTGTCAGCATGCAGAAGGCGTGAAAAAAGAAAGATAGATACCGGTAGTACTTCAGGTACAAAGTTGGTTGAAATTGTTGTTGAAATGGAGAAACAGCGCAAAACGGAAAGAGAGGAACGAGAGAGAAAAAGAGATGAGCGAGCTAAAGAAAAAAATGATCTGTTGCGACAATTTTTGGAAATTCTGAAAAATAAATGAATAGAATACATGTCATGCAAGGGACTGTGTAAAAAATATCTCTTCTTTTTTCAGATTCCTGTAAAATTTGTGAATTGCCACTGCACATTTTGAAGACTATTTTTGAATTTGTTGAAAGGGATGGTCTTAGTTGTAAATTGTATTTAGTTTGCAAAAAATTTAGAAATTTGGTCTATCTCTCAAGAACTGAAATGATTATTCACATCAGTGCACTTACAAATGACTGTGGCATGAAGTTGATGCCAGACTTGAAAAAAGTGACTATAATTGGTCTATATGGTGGACAGAAAACCAGTGATGTACAGCCAATTATCAACTTATTTGATAATGTGAACTTTCAAAAACTAGAAAATCTTATCCTGAAAGGATTTTGTTTCAAGAATAATTTTTTTCAATTACTGTGTTCTCTATCACTTGTTAACTTGCTGGTTTTGAAACTTGTGTTTTGTGATAATAGAACTGTTGGAGAACTGAAATGTATTCTAGAAAAAATTCCAACTCTCAAATATTGTGATGTCGAATGCAAAATGGAAACTGTTTTGGACTATCACATTTTTGCAGAAATAGCCAATGAATTGGTGGGCCAAGTTAACTTAAATCTTAATACATTGGAAATGGTCCCATCATCTCTACTGAGACATGCAAGAGCAGAGTACAGAGCTAGGTGGCCAACAGGGCAGCTGTTTCTGAGGTTGAATATGTTGAATTTTTACTAGATTTTAACAGTCATACTTATTGAATCTGTGGAATATTTGCTATCAATTCTAGTCAGAAAAGATCCCTTACCATAGGGCCTTTTGCATTGTTTGTGTTGACAGTTATCAGTTATTTTATGCTGGAAAGCACATGTAAAAATCAACATTTTTTTTATGTCTGTGATTTTTCCAATTCAGTTGTTTATATTATACTTTTATAATGTTTTTTTTCTTTTTTTACAGTTTTTGCTCAATCAGAGATTACATTTTTCTTGTGCCATTTTTTGTTTTTGTTCTTATTAAAAAAAATTATGCCAATTTCTGTGTTTTAATTTATCATAGCAAATGAATGGAAAAAAGTCCTGATAGTCTCAATTGAGTTTTATGCACATCAACTGTTGATGTGACCTTGAAATGTTTGTCATCCATGATTTCTTAAGGCTATTGTTGTACCAGTACTTGGGTATGTACTTGTAAAGGTTCAGTGTTCCTATGTACTTTGATAATACTGCCTGCATGGCAAAATAATTAGTCCAGTAAACCTGTCTTTTTCAGTTTCCAAACCTTACTTTGTGGTTTCAAATTCCACTTTGATGTAAAGAAAGATGACTAAGGTCTCTAATTTGCAGAAATCACGGTCAAGTGTTACTTGCTGAAAGAGAGGCACACAAAAAAACCTGCTTTGCTTCTGTACAGACTTCAATATGTATATTAATAAAAATTGTAAAGATATTTGCCCCCGTTATTTGAACCAGGAGAATTTAAAAGATTCAAACAAAATATTTGAGGTTTTATTATTTTTCATCAAATGTTGACATATCAAATGAAAAATTATCTTGGAAATGGATGAACACTTAATAAATCTTTTTAAAGTGTTTAATACATACTTGAAATAGAAGGAAAATAGCAAATGGAGTGAAAATATAATTTAAGTTTTGATCTCTTTTTCAACCAAAAAAAACCATACAAAACTGACAATTGTCAATTTTAACCTCATTAAGTACATGTATTTTTTTTTTATTTTGGGAATGAAATTACAACGCTCTTGCTATCTGAAGTCTCTTCACTGATCCTTGATAAAGTAAATTCTCATCAAAATTTTCTGCGCCTGGCAATTGTTGAGGTATCGGATCTTCATTCAAAAGTTCTTGAAACTCGTCATGGTTCATGATGCAAATATTGTGCAGAATACATCCAGTAACAACTGTCTGTACAATGCCCTCCATTTCATTTTGATTGATATGTTGCAGTCTAGTAAAGCGTCCTTTCAAGAGTCCAAAAGCCCTTTCAACCGTGCTGCGTATACTGCTGTGTGTATAATTGTAATGGAGCTGCACATTTGTAAGACGACCATTGTCCCTAAAGGGAGTTAATAACCAAGACATGTTCGGGTATGCAGAGTCCCCTAATAAGTGTCCGTCGCCACATAATGCTGGGCCATTCTGAAAGAGTGGTGATTGCCGTAGAACTCGAGCGTCGTGCACTTTTCCAGGAAATCCAGCAAATATGTTGGTAAATCTTAAATCCTCTCGAACTACTGCTTGCAGTACAATGGAATAATAATCCTTACGATTATAGTAGTCTATCCCTCTGATCAATGGTTTCTTTATGGAAATGTGTGTTCCATCTATCATTCCAACAATACCTGGGAAATGTTTTAATTCCATGTACATATCCTTTATTTCTTGTTGCTCTTGAGGTGTAGGCCATAAAATGATTATACTCAACAAGTAATCATGTATAAATGTTATCAAATTACGTATTGCATAGGAGGCCGTACTTTCACTCACACCAAATCTGTCAGCTATGGCTGCATATTTATCAAGGCTAGCCATATACCACAAGAATATTAAAAGGCGATCTTCTAGAGCTATTTGTGGTGATCCTCCGGTAGAGTGTCTGCATAGAATCCCTGAAACACCTTGTTCTACACATATCTCAGATATTTTACCTCTGAGACATTCCACACTTATTCTGGAAACTCTAAAAAAAGTTTTAAATTCGTCAATACGAAAGTGCAACGCAACACTGCCTGTGTAATTGTTTTGTCTGTGTCTCTTCTGTGGGATAGACTTCTTTGGTGATGAGCTAAAAGTAAATGAAAATGAAATACTGTTAAATTAGTAAAAGATCAGGATTTTATTGATCAGTATCCAAATTAGACGTCTTAAATTGAATGAACATACTTCAAATCGATGGTTTAATTGATTAGAAAAGTTTCAGATAAAACAATTTTCCCTAACTCTACACAAAACCCTATTGCCTGGAAAGGGGATACAGCTTTTTTAAAATTATTATTTACTATTATCTAACACTCAAAAATCCTGTTTTGAATGTATTTAAAAACCGAAATGCCTGCCCCTAGCCACTTTTATTCGTTATTTTTATATATTTTAAGATAAGTGTTGGAGGAATTTCGGAATAAGATCCAATAGGTGTTACAAGGTAACAAGACAACACTTACAAAAGGAGTAATAACAAAGTTTCAATGCCTTCTTCATCACTTTCTTCCTCATCGCTGCTGTCAGAGTCTCCAACGATTAAAAAATATCCCGTTTTTTCTACGGTATCCATCGTTCTGGAAAGCGGAAGTGACGTATTTTACTTTCATTTTAAAGATGCTCAAAGTTTTATTCGAATTCCCGTTCGACTGGTACACCTCTGTTTAGTATTTTTTTCCTTCTGCGCAGGTGGGCGGAGCTTATTTTTACTCATCTAAAAAGTACCAGTCGAATATGTCAAATGATAGTAGGCAGTATTCCAAGATATCTCAGTTTGGTCTTATTGCACCGAAACTGAGGCACATGTTCTTTCAAAATAATGTATTGAATGAATGGATAGGACCAATGTACGGGATACAAAACGTAACTCTTATTGATCTCTCGAATAATTTCTGCACAAAACTGTCATCCAATTTCTTTGTTAACGCATCAGGACTTTTACGTCTCAATATTTCTAGAAACTCGGTTGGAGATAATCTGGAGAGAGACAAGAATGGACTTATATTTAGAAACTTGGTTTCGGTGGAAACATTGGACTTAAGCTCCAATAAGATTTATCATTTGCCGTATTTACTTTTGAAAAGATCTCGGAATATCGGGACATTGATTCTTAACAATAATCAACTTTCTGAGTTGAATGTCGGCGTTAAACATATGCATCACTTAGAACATCTTGATTTATCTGAAAATAGAATAGATTCTATCAGGGATGAAATCAGACAGGAACTGACTGATTTGATAAGGCTGAAAAACACGTCCATAGATCTATCTGGGAATAACGTTGACTGCTCGTGTGAAAATGTTCCATACATCCAGTGGATGGTTAAACATAAAGAAAATTTCGAAAGGTTTGATGACTACGAATGTGCCATAAAGAGTCAGAAAAATTTCAATTTCAGCGATCCTGTCACATCTCTTAAATCTTTGGTAGTGGAATGCCGATCTTATACCACATTCTACATTGTTGCATCCATAGTCTTGACCATTCTAGTTTTCGTGGTCATCGCTATGTTAGTGAAAAGAAATATTTGGACAATAAGATTTACCATATATCAATGTAAGCAAAAAGTGAAGACAGGTGGTCGATATATGCAAATATTATATCAGAGAAACCGATTGAACTTCACTTATGACATATTTATTTCATATTCTGCCCGGGATCGAGAACTTGTTATGAATAAACTTCTGTTGAAATTACAAGATTTAAACCTTGACGTCTGCATTCGTGAGAGAGACTTTTTAGCAGGTCGTCATAAAGCTGACAATATAATGGACGCGATAGAGAGCAGCAAAATGACAGTCTGTGTTGTTTCGGAATCTTATCTAAAGTCTGGATGGAGGGATTACGAACTAAATATGGCAAAACTCGAGGGTATAAAAAAGAGAGGAGGACTCCATTACGTGTATTTAATAATTCTTCCAGGAGCCTACGATTTAAAGCGAAAATGTCCGAATTCCCTGAAGGATTTGATCAATGAAAACCTTTTTTGTCATTATCCTTCTGAGGAATCAATGGCAGAACTGGATATATTTTGGAATGACTTTTCCAGTGTTGTTGCTCATAATTAAAATGAAAACTTTGTAGCATTTATAGATTTGACATTTGTATCCAAGGAAAGACACATGTCAACAATTCAAACTTTAATTTTAGTGATAAAAAAGCGAAATTATAGGAACAGGGGTCGAAAAATAACTCTATATACAGTAGATAATAGTCATTTGAATTTTTGATAAAAGAATGAAAAAAAACAACCCGATTTCTTTTATTATTAAGTCTTTCTTTTTATCACCTTTTATTACCTTCATCACCTGCATATGGAGTATATATCTCCGTTGAGTTGATTCGATACGCAGGAGCATGCTCTATGTATGGACAATTTCTAAAAACGAGGTAAATTATTGACATGCAAGTTGATGAAACAAGAATATCAACAGTCTCGTTTAAAGTCATTATTTCGTAAGTTCTATGGTAGATACAATGACCTTGTCAGGAAATACAATTTCTCATTGAGTAAAATGCTGACCGACTTTTTTCATACCAATTGTTCGTCCATTATTTATACACTGAATTGACGACAAATTTTTCTGTAATTTCCTGATCATGACAAGTAGCACACAGCGGGTGTGACCGGTCTGCAGGGGATGCTCACTCCTCCATGGCACCTGTTCGCACCTCTGATGTTTCGGGGGTCCGTGTTTGCCCTGCTCTGATTTTGTATTGTTTTATGGACTTTGAGATTGAATACTGTTCGTTATCTCCATATCCTTCTTTTAAGGAAATTTTTCAAATGAATTTTATAACAATATTGAATAACGTACATGTATTACCATGTTCTTGTAAACTTACAAACAGTTTATGCAGTCAAAAGCAATACAGACAGAAGATATATGACAATTTAGTAAGCGACTCATTAAGTAAACAACTTGATCGGGAACCAATTTTTATAAAACTTAATCGGGAACCAATTTGCTTTTCAATTCAAAGAAAATGGAAGTATATGTTAGATTTCGTCATTTCATCATTCTGTTTCTTTTTGAAAGTCTATAATGATCTTCGTTAAAAAAAAGTGAAGACATTATAAGATAATCACAAGGCAAATAAATTTATAAAAACGTTTATTTATTGTGTAAAACAATCACTTATCAAAAGTGTATTTTTTATTTAAATACTTATCATGTCACGATTCTCAAATTTGAATGTTGAGTGTCCCTCATAATTACCTGACAGTTCCATTTTAAGGTACTGCGATCTTCGGGTTCTCAAAAGCAAGCATTGACTGATTAAAATGCTCACAAAAATGTCTCTGAATTCTAAAAGTAACGTGTTTTACCCACTATACAGTGTAATTCTTCAAACTTTAACTTAATCTTTAAAGTTAATCCTTTTATATATGGAAAATTAGTAAATCTCAAATTATTTTTTGGAAAGAAATGCCAATTTAAACACATAGTGTGCATTTTCTAATTCAAATTTGATCAACAAACACATTTTAGAAATAAAAATCCTAGGTTTTCTGGCTTGTGAAGAAATTACACGTATTTTATACATATACATATAAGGTGCTTTACTTTCTTCTACCGTTATTTACTTCGATCATTTTACAATGCATAGTGTATAAAGATATTTATATCATTGCAAAATACCAATAATCATTTCTTATTCTGTACCATGTTAAAACACATTGGTATCTATTGTTAGATTATAATGAACATCAATTTCTTTGAATACGTAATACTGAAATACTTTTCCAGTACATTGAATAAAAGTTTTGCATAAAAAATTTAAATTTTCAAGCTTCATTCTGAGACTTTTTGAATAAAATGATAGATTTAAGAGTTATCCTTCCTGGCGGAGGATCAGAGTACCTGAATAATTTCGTGTTGAAATTTGATTTCAATTCTTAAAGTTTTGACTCCACTGTTCGTCTTGATAAAAGAAAGTCTAGCCATTAAACTTGGAAATAAAGATAATGAGAATAAATTTATAATTTTGCGAATTTATAGGTGTTTCTTTTTTTGGATGACTATTAATCGGACAATCTGCGGTCTTTTATCCCTTTTTAATAAACCATTTGTGTCCAACTAAAGATTTTTAAAAGGATTTGTTTGTTTGTTGTACCTTTATAGGATTTGTGTGTTGTACCTTTAAAAAATTACTGATCGAGATAGCCTTTCCTTTTCGTTTGACTCTTTTGCATGTGTTGAATTAAACGAAAGATGGTTCACTAAATTTTGTATTCTTCTGTCAGATTATTAATTTAAACCAACAAGGAAGAAGATATTATCTTGCAATTTTTAAAAAATAAATACTGGTATCTGACATTTGAAAGAAGTACCCTTGCCATAAAGCTTCGAAAAATCCTTCCTTAAACGAAATTAAAGGTGCTTGCGGGGAAATGGTAAATTTCTATGACGTGGGCATTAAGTGTATGTTGCATAACAATTCAGTAAGTTGTACAGGGTTAAACGAAAGGAATAATTTAAAAATACATAATGGCGTTGTATCAGTGGTTATTTGTGTTTTATTCCCTTCTTTGGATATCATACAGTGAATGTCATGATAACATATGTGAAGTTTGCAAATGTGGATATTTTAAAGCAGGATTAAAAATTGACTGCGCTGGGCGACTCGGCATGGCACCCAACATAACTTCTTTCCCGGAAGAGACTGTGTGGGTAGATCTAAGAAGAAACAATATCAAAACGATAAAATGGAGATTTCCAAAGAAAATCAGGCACATTGATCTGTCGCAAAATGCAGTTTCGTCCCTCTCCGGAAAACCGTTCGAAAAGCTTCAGTTTTTGAAATATCTTAATCTAGAGGACACCAAAATTGTTCTTTCTGAAGAAAACTATTATCCTGAGTTATTTTTTCATCTTGACCGATTACAGGTTTTGAATATTAAGAACAACTCAAAGACATTTTCAAATGTATCTGGCATAGGTAAAGCTTTTTCAAAACTTCAATCATTAAAAATATTGAAGATGGATTTACCTTTCAATTTCAAATTTGGTGGGGGGTTTAAAACTCTTCAGAATTTACAGAATCTTGATGTTTCCGGAATAACTGGATATTGTGATGTAAAATATCTTTCCCAAAACTTTTTCAACAATATTCACTATCTAAAGAGAATTGACTTAAGTAATTGCAAAATATTTAAAGTGGATGAAGGACCATTTATAATTCTTCGACACTTGGAGAATCTCGACATTTCTCATAATGAGGAATTAGGATTTGTCTCTCTCCCAAACGTAACTTATGGTCTAAAAGAGACTTCTATTCGAACTTTTCGTGCTGACGCTATCCGTTGTCTTATAGGAATAGGTACAGAGCTAACCGTGTCACATATCGCAAATTTACGACAAACAAAACTCATTGAACTCTCATTTGCACACAACAGAATAGAGCTAATTGGTAAAGGGGTTTTTCCGAACATGCCCAAATCCCTTGAGAGGTTGTCTTTTGCGCTTAATCGTCTTACAACAGGAATTTATTTATTTGAATTTCACACCCTGCATAATTTGAAGGAATTAAATATGACCTTTCTTTTGAAGCAACCAAAGTATTTTTCCTTTATCTTTGAAAAATGCAACGAAAACAAAGAGTTGAAATCTCAAGAGTCAATGAGTGCAAGAAATTCAAAGCCATATTTTGAATTTCGTCGTTCTTCAAATATAACAGTGTATATGCCACCGAAACTTGAAACATTCAATGCAAATTCTAGCAAATTGTACGGCAGAATACCGAAATTAAGGATAAGTGCAAACAATCTGAAGAATTTGTATGCACAGAACAATCTCTTGTTTTCTTGGAATCAACCTCTATTTGGGTTTGAAAGGCTTGAAAGAGTAGATTTGTCGAATAACTTTTGCTCTAGTATATCTCCAGCTTTTACAGCAAGTGGCAAGAGACTGAAATATATGAGCTTGGCCAGAAACATGTTGGCACGTTCAATACAATTAGACTTCAGATGCCAAATATTTAAAAATCAACTTCAATTAGAAGTTCTTGATCTATCCAGCAACAAGCTTTCGCATTTACCAGACTGTATTTTTCAATCCCTGGCTAAATTAAAAGTTCTTAAACTTAATCACAATCAGCTGTCCGATGTGAATTTCAGGATCAAACATATGATTAATCTTTTTTCCATCGATTTCTCAGATAATCGAATTACTACCTTTTCAGTTCAAACAATGGATTCACTTTCATACATCTTCTCTAGGACAAAAGTATCAATACGTCTTCTCAACAATAAGTTGCATTGTACTTGTAAAAACTTAGACTTCCTGAAATGGATGTTGCGTAACAAGGATTACTTCTTACACGTTGAAAGGTACTTTTGCTCGGATGTAAATACACGTTTTGATTTCAATGAGTTTGAACAATCACTACATAGACTCAGAATTGACTGTTTGGATTTACAAATCTGGATAACTATTTCGTCAATAATAATTACTTTTGTTGTGTGTTTCTTTGTTGCACAGGTAATCAGGACAAACATCTGGTATATAAGATATTTCCTGTATAAACATAAAAGAAAAAATGCATGTGATATTGCTAGAAAAGATGGGGCTGAGATATCTGGTTTAGTTTTAAAGTCAGATGGAATAGATGAGTTTTCTTACGATTCAGCAGAGGGTAATTCTTGCATAATGCTAAGCACTTTCACTGCGTGAAAATTTGGCTTTACAAAACAAGTAAAGATAATGTAAATTTATTATTTACAATGCCTTTAATTGGCTTTTCTGAAAAAAGTCAAAGTTGGAAAAGGTAACCTTTACATTAACTTTACATGCACTTAAATATGATGTAATGTCCCACATTGTCTTGACTTTACAAAAAAGTAAAGTTAATATTTACAACCATTAAACACAGTATTTAGGATATATTAAATCTGATAATTACAGACCTTAAATTTAATTAAATACCATCTTTAATAACCACAATCTGATAATTACAAACCTTAAATTTAATTAAATACCATCTTTAATAAACACAAAAGTTAATAATTTCCGTTTTCCATTCCAGTGAATGAAGCCTTATTCAAATTATGAATAAGTTTTCCTTCCAAATTGATAAGTTGCGGAAATGTAAACATCATAATTAATAAACATATTAAGAAAAAGCTGACTTAAACTTTGTTTATTACAATACAAAACATTATTTTTTACAAACATAAAATCAAAATTATCAAGATTCTTGGCAGTATATGTTGCCCACATCCTATCCTGCAAATTACATACATATCAAAGACAAAGTACATTTTACAAATATGTTTTTTTTTGTATGTGACATGTTTTATAATAAAACCAACTGTTCATTCTTAAAATTAAAGTTGTGAATCAACATAAAACTATTTTATGTCCTCTTTCTTGTTGATATTGGTTTTAGTGGAAATCAACAATTGTCAAATGTTTTTGTCACACCTCCCTTTTCAGAGTTCAAAACTTTTATCCCCATGCAGGCATTTTCCTAATGCTTTTCCTAAAAGAAAAAAAAAGTATTTTTTTCAGTGCCATGCATAAGTATGAATATTTTCAACGGCTTCGTGTTATCAGAATTCACAATACCATGATAAATAAAACTAAAAACAAGTCACAACCTTACTAATAAATAAACAGTTCATACATGACCTTTAACCTCAAAAAGCAAAAAATGTAAATTTATTAATTTAATAAGATGAGTGGAACTCTTGTTATTGACATATTATATGAAGAATCAATGGGTTAGGTCATGTATCCCTTATCACAATAAAGTGCCACGCCACAGCATGATACGCCCGTCAAAAAATTACAATTATCTTTAACAGTTTAGAATGCAAGAAAATCATGTCAACTTTGATTCTAAGATTTTCATGATTTTTTCCATTCCTTAAAATATTTGTTTATCCATCACCTGTGGTGTAGGCATTAATCATAACAAATTACATCATTGATAGATTTCTATACTGGTTGTATTAGACCTTGTCAAATGCCCATCATATTTATAAACAATATCAAATTAGTCATTACAACTTAATCTATACCAAATTAATTTGAAAAAAAAAGGTTGGCCATCAAATGACATATGCTATTTAAACTGACCAGCAGTTCTTCTGTCTAATTTCCCAAAGGAACTGTAGATAAGAAGATGCTAGCTAGCCTAATCCTACATTGAACTCATTAATTAATCTGTGACTGGAAGCTTGTCTACTCATTACTAGAGATGAATGAATCTGCACTTTCTACCATAAAATATTTTTAAAAACATATAAAATACTCAATGACTTTTTTTAAAGATTATATGTCAGAAAGGTTTTAATATGCGATTTCTATGGAAAATGGACATGCTGATTTTACCCCAATGAAATTAGTTTTTAAAATTAATAATATTACATAATATCAGATTAGTTTATTATGCAATATCAAATTATAGTGTTAATTACTTTTCATCAAATTCATTTTGAAACTTAGGCTAGCCAACAAGAGCTATTTTTAATCCAACAGGCTTACCCCATCTGCCCAATACCCAAGGGATATAGATTACACCAATGCTCTACAGTTAGCTCCTCACACTAAACTCATTAATTTCTCTCTAATTTGACATGCAATTTTCTGTTATCAAAATTCTTGACCAGTGCTTGATAAGTACACTCATGGGAGAAATCAGATTTCTCTAACATACATTATATTTGTTACAGATTGGTGTCAAGTATATGTTTAAAAAAAAGTATTTTCTTAATTTAACACTTTTTTAATAAGGATACAACTATATTCTTCATTTTTAAGGATTATGAAATTCAAAATTTAAAAGACTTTGTTTTTAAAAAAAAAATCACTAAAATTATTAATTTTAAAGGTCACAATGACCTTGAAATAGGTCGCGACACACCTTCTACCCATGATGTATAAATTTGTCAAGTTTGATAGTTCTAGCTCTAATACTTTTCTAGTTATGAGCCGGACAGGATTTTTCCATATTTGGCTATAACTTTTTAATTAAAGGTCAGAGCGACCTACTTTTTGTGCGCGACACACCTTCTACCCAAGATGTATCAGCAGACAAAGTTTGATAACTCTAGATCTAATAGTATTAAAGTTATGAGCCGGCACGAGAGAGCTAACAGACGGACAGACAGACAGACGGACGGACACGAAGCCTATAACATAATACGTCCTATCTTAAGACGGGCGTATAAAAAGCCTATAAATTACAATTTGAGAAATATGTATTTTTTAAGTGTACTACACAAAAACAAAGAATAAATCCCTGAAATATTGAGAAATCATAGGTTTCCTGACTACTCAGTTGTCAGTTTACAAAGAGAACAATATTGTGCCAGATACCGTATAAGTAGAATTTTTAGCGAGGATTTAATTTTGGCATTATTAGCGAGGGTGTTGAGATGGCTAAAATTAAATATTGCTAAAAATAAATTGCGTTTTATTTGTATTAGTTTCTTAAGTGTGCATTTTAAAGTCCCTAAAATAGTATCTCGCTAAAAATAAATTACCAGTGTTAAAGGACAAATGGTAAAATTTGCCTCTCGCTAAAATTTCCACTTATACGGTATTTATTAAATTTAGCTGTACATGTATACAGTATAATACTGAAGTTATGGTTTAGGATATATGTACCTTTTTCCCCAATCGCATGTTTCAGCTCATGACCTTTTTTCCTGATATGGAACAGTAAAAGAACTTTAGGTGAGAGTCCCTCAAATTGAAAATGGCAATCATGCTGAAATAGAATTCATACCGTGATTAACATTTTGTACATATGGACAAATATAGTCAATATTTTTTGTAAAAAATTATGAGTTTGAAGCAAACTGCTGCACTTGGTCACAAGAGAATGAATTGATTTTGAAAATTAATACACAGTGCAATCACAAATAATAGCTATGAATTGACAAACACCCTTATGTTATTTTTTATCAAGAATAATCTAAATTTAGTTCTAAACAATACTTGCCATTTATAATATGAAAGTTGAGAACCAGCCTCTTCTTCATGACAGATCTTTTAATTTTCTCATGGTAGGCTGAGTAGCTTGAGACTATACAAAGGAAATTGAACATTTTTTTTTTTTTACAAATATATGACAATATTGACTCCCGAGCAATTCAAGCACTAAATAATGTAAATGTTTGTTCAAGTAACAGATTTCATGAAATTTATTATTAAAATGTGTTTGTACCAAAGAACACTGGGATCCTCAATCTGGGTAATCATGTTTTGTTGTCTTCCTCGCCCCTTCTTGATGTTTTCCCTTCAATAATCTGCATACTGAATTCACTATACCTGTGTTTTAAGAAAATGGACACAGTTTAAAATACAAAATATTATAAATAAAAATAAATAAACTCTCAAAGTTGAGTTTATGTACATGTAATGTATATGGGTTAGTATATATAGGTCCCTGATAGGTGTAGTACTTTTCTTACAACATTATTTTTCTTGCCTGATTAAAATCTTTATTAAAGCAACTTTTAGAGTGTAGTTAACATGGTTAATGTAGATACAATTTTTTAAAAATATTTTACATTTATCAATCCGGAAGACAAGCCCCTATGATTCATACACCTTTACAGAATAAAGTGACGCACATAAACATTTAATCCCAGAATTATCAAAAGTACTTATCTAATATCCTAGCAGAAAATAACATACAAAGCGTCGTTTTCCATGACTTTGATTAGTTTCATTCTTTCACAACATGCACAATGTACTGAAAGTGAAAGTAAAAACGGCTGGAAATCGTAAACAAACCTTTAGAGCATGTCAACCCGGGAGTTCGAGCAGTTGTTCAGGCAAGAATCTTCTTAAATCTAGATGAAGTGTCAAAAAATTACCACTGGTTTCAAACTTCGTCAAAATAACGATGCAGACCCGCTCAACTTGATTTGAAATTCAACCGAATACACAGTGCCATATTTGGGTTACTGTTCAGAGTAGATCGTTCGTTTTACATTCGAGAAGAGTTTACATATTACTTGAATGAAGAGGATAACATAATACTGAGCTAAAAAATTTGTGTAAAGTATGTTTTCAGTTTAGTTTACAATACAAGCTGTAAATGTGCTGGAGATTTTATTGATGTTATAGCTTGTAAACAAAACCAATAAACGTAGGACTTCTTCACGGCAATGTATGGGAACCAGAGCTGGGAACCAGTCTAGAAGGCAAAAATTCCGCCAAGTAAACAACAAAGAAAGGGAATGGGGAACCGGAGTCGGTTATCTTATCTTGTATCGGTAGGGGGCGCCACAGGAAAATGCGGTCCATTACAAAAATGATAAAACCTGTGAAGATGGATAATCAGCATCCATTCTCGAATACGATATCGGAAAGCACACACGTTTCAGTTACTATCCTTTACTTACTATGGCATCTAATTGTGGTGATATGACTATACCCGAACTTAAGAACGAGTTAGAAAAGTTTGGAGCAAAGAAATCAGGAAGGAAGTGGGAACTTGTGGAGAGGTAAATAAACATACGATGTTTTCATGCAAATCCATGTAAACATTATTGATAACACGGTAAATAATTATCAATGGTGTGTAAAAGATTAACATTAAGTCAAATTGACAGTAAATAACAGAATTACCTGGTTTAAGAGACTAATTCTAAAATAATCTGCAACTTTAGCGTGTTATATTTTTAACTTGAATTTCCTCGGTAATTCTAAAATCGATGTCCTATTGCTTGGTGCTTGCAGAAAAATAAGAATACTTCTCTACATTTTTATTATGAAGCAGTATTATTATTCCCTGATTGTTGCCACTCTGTTTCACTCAAAATAAACATGAAAAAGAATTAAATAGGCTTATTTTATTGCAGACTTGAAGCCTAACAGAAGAAATGTACATTGTGCTAAGACCGATGTTTATGGACCTGAATTTATGATGATGACGCCAGATCCACAACTCTACAAGGACCTTCATGGTGACAAGACCTTTCCAGGATGCACCGAGGCAGAAATTTCCACTTTCTTGTCCAAGTTTAATAAGACAACTGATAAGAAAGGAAGGGATATGTACAACGATGGGTTTATCCAGTATGTAAAGGTGACATTTCATGATTCAAATTGGTTCGTTAGAAGCAGTGTAAAAGCTTCAATGATGAAGTCTGTGAAATATGTTGTTGACATTATGATAGGAAAAGACAGAAGTGTTATAGAATCTCAGTGTGAATGTGCGGCAGGTATGGGACCCGATGCACATTGCAAGCATGTCTGTTCTGTACTTTTTTCATGTGCAGATTTTGTTAAGCTTGGGATTTACAAAACGGAATTCACCTGCACACAGAGGTTACAAACTTTTCATCGTGCTAAGCCCCATAAAGGAAGCCCTATGAAAGCAAGACAGTTGGACATGCCAGGCTGTGATGAAGTATGCAATAATGACTATGACCCTCGTCCAGTTGAATTAAGAGGCAATCCGGGATACCAGTCTTACTTTAGAAATGTGTGTTTGAATTACCCAGGTATTAGTAAGACCCCAATTTTTCAGCTGTATGAGCCTGTAAACATGAAAGCTTACAACCTGGACCATGACTATCTAAAAGACACGTTTAGTGAAAATCATTTGAAACTGTTAAATGTATCAGAAATTTCAGAGGAGAATGCACGTCAAGTTATGATAAAAACAGCTACACAAGCTGCCAACGACCTTTGGTTTGAGGAACGTTGTAAATGGTATTATTGACGATGACACCTTGATTGAAGTTAAGTGTCCATATGTGGCTAGAAACAGTTTTATTTCCTCAAAAACAGTTCCTTATATTAAGCAGTCTGGGAATAAATTTTATTTGAATAAATCCCATGACTATTACTATCAGGTGCAAGGACAACTTTACTGTGCAGAGAAAAATGAGTGTATATTTGTTGTGTATACTTTCAATGACTTTTTGTTCTTTGCAATAGAAAGGGATGATGAATTTATTGATGAGATGAAGAAAAAATTGAATGAATTCTATGAAGATTTTTTTAAGTCTGCTCTGTTGGAAAAAACGTTTTTCAAGACATATGATGGTAAATGTACTTGCAATAAAGAAAAATGAAATAAGACTTTTTTCTCTTTTTATGTCATTTTTAATACCAAGTTATGCATAAGATGGCACTATGCAATTCTTAAAATTACACAACATGAAACATAGATTATTTCTGAAGAAAGTTTTGTTTCAGAGCTATTCATAGGCTCTGTCAGAATTTTGAATGTTTTTGCAAGTCCAACGATCCTCTCAATGTGCACACGTTTGCTGGATATTTTTCTGTCCTCAATCACAGTAGCACAGGACATTCTGTTTTTCTTTCTGAAAAATGTTGGTGTATTTATTTGAATGTTCCTGTGTACAAACATATCCTGCACATTAAAACCTTTGTCCGCCATTATTGAATCTCCAGAATTGCACATTTCCAACAGCCTACTTCTTTCAACTATTTGACGGTCACTTGTTGATCCCCCATATGCGGTAGAAATATAAGATGTTAATCCACCTGGTGTCGCCCCTACAAGAACTTTTACGGTGTTACGGTTTTTATAGGTAGAATACGTTGCTTGCTGTGGCTTTGGTAACTTTGGTCTTTTAATAGGACACTCTGTGCCATCTATTATCACTCGAGTATTTGGAAATTTTGTTTTAAAATCTGATGGACAGTAATATTTTACAAGATACTTTGTAGGCCAAATGTCGATTTCCTGCCATTGCTTACTCATGAATAAAATCCATGTAAAAAATATATTAGATACCGTCTTTTCGGAAACTCCAAATAATCTTGAAAGTTCAAAATTGGTCGTATGGCGCCGTAACTTGCAGAGGACTAAGAAAAATTGGTCAGGAACACTAATGTTTGAAACCTTATGATAAATATAATTCAAACAGTGAGCTGCGGGTCCTAAGGTTCTTAAAACAAAGTAAAATTTAGTGAGAGTTTCCAATCCAGTATAGAAATTTACTCCGGCATCATCATTTGTAAAGTTTTCAATACTCATTGGGGGATACCGAGGAGTTTGTGTCTGTACATCAAAAAATTTAATGTCAGATTTCTGAACAGTGGCTTGAATTTCTTCAGCCAAAATTTGGGTAGAGCTAGATACAGTTTCCTCGGATACTTGCAGATCATCAGCTGATGTGTAGATGACTTCATCTACGGAAGACGAAGTAGAAAATTCTTCTGCTAGTTTTCGTTTGATGCCTCTGGACTTGGCTCTGTCGGCTCGTTCAAGTGAATGTGGACTTGGCTCTACCCAGGGAAAAATGCTTGGCACCGCAGTTTTCTTTAATCTTTTACTTAAAGGAGTAGTTCCTAAGAATTAAATCATTTATATCAATACTTGTTCATAGTTCTAGATTATTTATTAAGGAATTAAAGAATCTAATTTAAGAACTAAATTTTAAAGCAAATAAAACAAATATAAATTTACTAAAATATTTTTATTATTATTATTGTTATGAAATTGATGTTACAAAAAACATGCCCATGTGTTTATTAATTCAACTAGACAGGTCAAATTTGTTTTTAAGCAGGGTGCTAATTAGACATCAATGTCAAAACACAGTATCTTGTACTGGTAGATATGCATAAATTATCAGGCAACAGCATGTGTTCTTTTAGACATGCCTTGTGTTTATATTGTTAAGAGATAATGCGTTTGTAATAAATGACCAGTAATTGAAGTTGTCATTGGGGAGTCTGCATGTGGCAGTGTCTGTAACGTTATCAGATTACTTCGTATGAGAAATAAACAAGGGATTCGATATTTTTGTGCATTTCATCTAAGTAAATAAGGCATAAATATTGCTCAGAATAAAATCTATTAACATTACTTTGCACATGCTTATCAAAAAGATTTCAAGATAAATAAATAGATATTGTTACCATGCTGGGTTTCAGTCAAATAATCGTCTGATTTAAAATGTGCTCTGCAAACAACAGCATGAGTTGACGGAGTCCAGCTTTGAAAACGAGTTTCACCACGTTTTATTGCGTGTATCCATGCTTTTCTTCTTAACGGGTCTGTTGGAAATATATGGCCACCCGATTACTGCAATTCGGCACACAACAACAAGTTTCAGGCATGTTTTACGGGCACGTGTTTGACAGCAGATTGTTTACGTTTTTCTTCGATCGGTAACTACAGATAAGGCGCGAGGGTGTTCCGATACAGGACCGTGTTTGCCTGTGGCGCCCTCTAAAGAAAAGATAACCGGAGCAGGTTCCTAATTTGGATGTTGTCAGTTGTATACATTATGTGGGCCGGTGACTGCAAGGTAATACATGTGTCTTATTTGTTGCACATAATTTGTTTCATTTAATTATGAAAATTTATCCGTCACAACCAGTGGCGTAGCATCGTTTTTTTTTTATTTTTGAAAGTGGGGGGGGGGGGGGGCAGGCAAAAAAGGGGGGGGGGGGGGTTAAGGGGGGGGTTAACTTTTTCTCAGTGACAACTGCATTTAGTTCCAATTCTTATACTACATTTTTGGTACCGTACATTTCTAATAGTGTATGCTAGTTTTGGAAAAAAAGTGGGGGGGGGGGGAAGCCCCCCTGGCCCCCCGGATTCTATGCCCCTGCCAACACTGGCAGAAATATAACTAATCTGACTTCAAAATTCCTTCCTCTGTTCCCCGAAGTACATGTTACACTCTTCGCTCTCATTTTTTAAAAATATTGAATATTCATTGTTTATTTTTTTGCAGAAGCAAGGAATGTGGAGCTAATGCATGCTGCTAAGGATGGAAAGTTCTTGTGTTTATTGGTTGTTCCTGAGACACCAGTCACAGTTGTACCTTATTTCCATTTTAGGTAATGCCTTTTGATTTTTTTTAAGTAGAGGAACAATGCATTTTTCATTCAATAATATGTTGACGGTGCGACCGTTGTGGCGAGCGCAGATGTTTATTTTGTTAGAATTTAAATCGG